GCGGCGGTTTGTTTTTAATTTTACAAACGGCTGCGTAAGTCCAGCGGTGATTGGTCGCATGTTTTATCGCATGACGCAGTCGCTCGCTTCTTAGGTAGAGAGCGGTTGCGTCATCGGTTTGTATAAAAGGCAGTTGTTTTGGCTCGCCGCTCACTTAGCGGTTAGCCACCGTAGAGTCTATATCACCTGAGGATGCCTCGTGTAGAGGCGAAACACGTGTCGTATTATCGTCAGTGGTGTGTCTTGCCTAGTGTAGTGGTGTTGGGAGTAGCGGTGCTGGGATTAGTGGTGACGGGGTTAGTGCACGCAATTGAGGGAGGGCGGGAGGTGCTTCTTCATACTAGGTAAGACACATCATTTTATTTTATAACGCGGATATTTGCGAAGTAAATTTTTGTAAAAGCTTTTATATAATGGATTTCCGCAAAGTAACGCCTGATTCTATTAATTAATTTGTATCTACAATCACGCCCGTCTGTAATACGTAAAAATATTTTTTGTACGTAATAATAGAATTCTTTCCCTAAGTTGTTTGTTGCTTGCCTTTTTTTTGGTTAGTAGGTAGATTTGAAAAGCCGCGCCCTAGGTTGCGCAAGCGGGAGTTTTCTAGAGATATACGTCATGTAGGTAGATGGTTATTTTTACGTAATCGGTTAATTATCGTTGTCGGATAGTTGTAGTGGATTACTTATCGTAGGGTCGATTTCCGAGCTAGGCATTTTTTGTTGATCGACCGTGATGTGTATCTTCGTTTATACTGTAAGTTGTGTTTGAACTAAAGAGTAGTAATGGTATTTGCGCCATTTGAATTTAACTTGATTTGATCGCACTAGTATTTGTTATTTGTTAATTTGATTTGTGCCTTTTCTTTTGTGCTAACTTGTATTTGGTTGATACGTAGTAATTCGTATTTGTGTAATTTCTATTCAACGCGATTTGATAGGAACTGCATTTATTAACTGTTAATTTTTTGTTGTATTTTTTATTTGTTATCTTTGTAAACTGTGCTCAAGCCGCGTCGTAATTTGCATTTAATAGTGATGACATCGCCCAAGCTACTGATCCGTTGTTTGCGGACTGAGCTACGCTGGGCCACAAGCGCCCATGCTTTGATAGGTCGACCGGATAGGGTCCATAACTTGATGAAGCGGTTCGAGCAGGTGGATACTCGAAGGGCCGTAGTGGAGGAGGCTTACGCTGAGCTCGAGGATTCGGATGTGGAGAAGGGAGTCCTGGACTCCTGCTTCGCGGACTATGAGCAGTTCTTGTGGCTCACGGACGAGTTGATCGAGGCTGAAGGCAGGTATGCCGAGGAGGCGCGTGAAGCTCGGATGAGTGACCTATCCGAGTCCTCTCTGAAGCAGCTTCAGCCGGAGCTGTTGGGACGACTCCCAACTCTGGACCTGCCAAAGTTCTCCGGGGTCCATTCCGAATGGCTGACCTTCGTTGGTCTTTTCGACAGCCTAGTGGACGCCCGGAGTGACTTGACCCCGAGCCAAAAGATGGCGTACCTCCTGGCATCACTGGAGGGGGAGGCCCTGGGCGTCGTCGGCCACTTGAGATTGTCGGACGACGCCTACCACACTGCTCGGGACCTCCTAGCCAGAAGATACGCCAACGTCCGGCGAATTGCTGACGAACATGTTAAGCAGCTTCTAAGCCTCCCGCTGCTTAGTGACCGGGCCAGACTGCGTCCGGACCTGTTGGATCCAGTCTTGGTGGCCTGTAATACGTTGAGGCGGCTGGGTTTACCAGTGGGCGAATGGGCTTTTTTGTTGCTCCGCATCGTGCTGTCCCGTCTACCTCTCGACCTTCGAATCCATTTTGAGGAGAGGTACGGCGGGGACGAGGCCTCCTATATTCCGCCCTTCTATGACCTGCTGCGGTTTTTGGAGGAGCAGTGCCGGCAAATAGAGAGCGCGGCGGGCACCGTTGACGACTTACGAGCCGTGCCCAGTGAGAGGCTGAATCCTCCAGGCAAGTCGTCGTCAACTCCCCCCTGCTCCTATTGTCGAGCATCTGATCATCGGGTAACGTCGTGCCCGAAATTATTAGGTAAGCCGGTTCCATTGAGGCGAACTATCGCCAAGGAGCGCCGCTGGTGCTGCTCATGTTTGGGAGGACATCTCCAGCGAGACTGTCCGCATCGGCGGCCCTGTCTGCATTGCCAGAGCAATCATCATGCCGTTTTGTGCCTGAGTGCGAACGGCGTCTCCTCTCGGGGCTCTGCCAGGCCCTCGACCCCCACGGGCGGGGGCGCTCAGCCACGCCCTCTGCCGGGCGACTCTCGGAGCCCGCCGGCCAGCCATCAGGCCCCTAAGTTTGAAAGGGGTCCCTCCCCCGACCAGTCGGGGGGTAATTCCCCCAGGGGCGGGGGTGTCATCACCCCCCCTAAGCGTGTGGAGAGGAACTTCACGGCCACTCATCGGTCCGCTGGACCCTTCTCACTCCCGTTAGCTGAGTGGCCGCGACTGGTGTACCACTATTCCCCATTTGATGGAGGCGGCCCTGGCTAGCTGCCGCCTTAGCTCCCACCACGGCCACCTCCACTGAGCCTTAAGCCGTCAACAGTCCACTTGTCAAAATGTTCTATTGCCGACGGCCTCAGTGAAGGCGTACAACCCGAGTGGCGACTGTTAGCGATCTCGGGTTCACGCCATGTGGCCTCCACTTGGTGGTGGGAAGATTAGGGCCCCTCTGGAGCGTTGAATCACGCTGTCAAGGGGTATTAGATTTGGTTTGGTCGAGCACTTGGTCAAAAAAATACTTGAATTAAAATTTAAAAAAATGGTTTGGGCTTTCCGCGAAATTTTCCTATTTGTAGCGGTTTAAATTAAAAGAATTGAATTTAATCTACTCCTTTAAATGCTACTGCATGTGTTTTGTAAATATATTTAATCATGTATTTGATTGTTGCGTCTGTTTGCTGAAAGGAAAATTTGAATTCATCTGAAATGGAATGGCGCACTATTTGAAAAATTATGTAACATATACATAGATAGTGTTTAATCATTTTGCTTTGCGAAGAAGTAGGGCTGTCCCTTACGTAATTGTTTTGTTTAATTTGCAAGTTGACCTATGCGCATCGGTGATTAATTTGGTTGAATTAATTCTGTAGTTGAACATTGATGCTTTTGAAAAATTAGTTGAAATATGAGCATAGGACTACTTGCCTAACAGGCTAGCTAGTTTTGGAGATTATCAGATTGAAATCAGCTGCCGCACTATTTTAGTAAATGATAATATGGTGGGTGGCCTGGCTAGGCCTACTTGTTGAAAATTCATACTAGGGACTATCTGTGCGTTTCGTTCGGCTCTCCACAGACGACGTTCATGAGGAATTTGTGGGTGCTCTCTGCACTGAAGCTTAGGAGGCCGCTCGGGGCCGCTTCGTGTCGCGTCGCTGTTAGCAGAGCTGATCCGGTCGGATTGCGGAACTAATCATAGGGGCACAGATAGGTGTTTGAAAGAGGTCGTCGGACTTCTGTCCAGTACAGGACTTGTTAAAATGCTGCGATGCCCAGGAGGGGCATCCAGTGGAGGCTGACCCTCCGGCTTGCCACATTAGGGCTATTTTCTGAGGCGCTGGTTAGGGTGCAAGATCTGATGGGGTGCCTAAGGTGGCCTAGTTTGGTGGTAGATTCGGTCTTGCAACTTGCCTTCGCGACCTTGTCCCGCTGACCGGTTTGCTCGCGGACCTAAATCCTTATGTCCGGGACGGGGGTTTGTTCGCGCAAAACACTTTCAAGGATTGACGCGAGAGGGCGCTCGGCGCGGTGCATTCATACCGGTTTGACTTTCGGTCGTGCGAAAAACGCCCAAGGGCAATCAGTCGTCCATAAGCGGTGCTAACGATTGGCACGCTGTATTCTGTTAGGGAACTCGGAATAATTCGGCGCGGCCAGTAAATATACGGTCTATCATTGTGACGCGCATTCCTACTGGAGAGCTTCCCGGGACTTATTGTGTCTGACTCAGAACCTGCATAAGTGCATTCGGCAATATTAGATAGTGCGGCCTCTGATATTCTAGAATTAACTATTGCTACGCGAAACGGTAGTGACCTTTGACCCTTTAAACTCCGTGTGCGTTTGTGCGGTAACCATTATACCCAGCGATAGTTAGTGGCTTCTGTAAGTTAGTAAATCGTACGATAGAGTTAATTGACTGTCAACGTGACGAAAGAAGAAAGTGACTGTGGACAACCTCGAAAGGCGCCCTCAAGTTGGAGCGGTGTCGACGCTCGGGCTGCTGCCGACGGCCAAGGTCTAGGTTCAATCACCATCAGTCACACCCAGATACACACCACATCACCATTCTTTCCCTTGCACTACACAACCACATGCGACCTGACCGACTCCGGAGGGACCAGTCGCCTTGGATAGGTAAGTAAGCTTCATCCAAATTCCTTCCGGTCGACTGGCCGTAGTATAACGCTCCCCCATATATTTTAATGTAATTAGGAATTTCCACGTGGCCACATTGGGGCCCGACCTACGTCTGTTCGGGAAATCTTCAGCTCATGGGCCCCTGAGGATTGGATCCTTTAAGGGAGCAGCCGTAGGCCGTAACACTACTAGAAATAATAAAATTTAAAGATTATTCGGTAAATATATGTTATATTTACGATAATAAACCGATATCACGTTCATTTTTTGCTCCATATCGTGACTTACAATATCTTAATACACAACCGGGCATATTTTCTTTAAAAATATTTTTTAAATATATGAAAAAAAAAATGCGTCTTGACTTTTTGACGATGTCACAAAGACTAAATGACAAAAATCGAAGATATATCCTATAGGAAAAAAGGTACAGATGACAATTTTACTGCTGATGTCCAGTCTATGAATACTACTACTTAAATGTCTTTGCAAGTATCGATGAATAGCAGCAGAAAATTATCATCAAGTGGACAATTAGTTCGTTTATCATTCTCATGAAAATATATGTCCCAGTGAATATTTGGTATTAATACGAGTATAATATAAGCTTACATTTTCTTCTTCATGGTGGGTGAGAACTTTAGCAAAAGGAGCAGCGTGGTAAGTAACGGCAGCTGGGGCTGCGTTGTAATAAGAGGCGGAGGCGGCGTTGTAATAAGAGGCGGGGGCGGCGACGGCCAGCTTGGCCACAGGTGCGGTGGCTACCAGTTTCGTGGCAACTGCTTGTGGTTGGTCATGGCGCACAATACTTTGAGAGGAGACAGCTTCAGCTAGGGAGTAGTGCACAGCTGCAGGTAGAAGTCCCGCATTGGACACTGCAGCTACGGCGCACAAAATAGCTACCTACAAACAAAAGAAATACATAGCAACAAAGAAACCAAATTAGATGAGAAATAATTAAAAATCTATCTAAACTTACACTGCGGAACATTTTTGGATTAGAATAGCTTTTTGTACGTGGGCAAATTATGAATAGGGACTTTTTAATCAACTATCTTCTTATATACTAGTCAAATACTCTTACAAGCACAGCTTACAAGTAATCGAATGGTAGTGGAAGTTGTCAAACATGCTTAGCCTGTATTAGTCGTAGGTCACGTTAGTTCATAAATCAAACTGTTTAGGCCAAAATCGTAATATTTTAAAAACTTGCATCAAATGCGCGCGCGACGCGTCACCCGATGATTTGAGGTGAGATAAACGCCGCCGGGGGGGGGGGGGGCGGCGGCCGTGTGCCGCTTCCCGTCTTTCAGTCTCGTGGGCTAGCAACAGTGTATTTAACGCCGCGGCATTGTTGTGTTATTAGGTTGCGCGCGTCCGGTGTTTTAATTTGAATGGGTTAATTGTGCGCGTCGTTTTGAATTTACTATTGAATATTCGGATCTAGTTAAGACCGCCTCGAATTGAGTGTCTGTTTTGAGTGTTACGTGACAAGAGGCCTAATTTGAGTTTTGAGCTTATATTGAGTTTGAAATATTAACTTAACCTTGATTGACATTTAATTTGGTTCGACGAGTTGCTTCGTGGCATTTTGATATCGTGCGAGGGAATTTTGCCTTGTTGTGTGGAACGCTAAACTTTGAGACTCCAGAAGAGGCCGCGTTCGTTCCCGTGTTTGTAAGTTTGTGCTAAGTGAACCCGGAACATTGAATATTGAACTTTGAACGACGGTTTGGTACTTGTGTCGTGACTTTGAAGTTAATTAAATGTACAATAAAGTTGATAAAGAAATATAGTGATTCTGTTTCTGTTTCTGTTTCTGTTTCTAGTGAAAATAATAGCAGAAGTTTCAATTGATGATCGACCACTGGAGGAATCGCACATTTGGAGAAAATCAGCGCCTGAGGATCTGCGGTCCGACTTCACCGGGATGTCAGGTTACACATGTACACACTACTACACACTACTTACATGCACATCACTAACCACCTGACTGGTACCCTGTGGTAAACCCTATCTCCGGAAATCGGTAAGTTGTGCTTGCTTATTTGCAATTAATTTAGAACCATCCATAGGCTATTTGGGCTCCTTCCTTGGTTGCCCGTCGCGACTACCATTCATGGGCCCTGGTACGGTCGACCTTTGTCGGGGCAACTAAGGGCGTGAACATTTCTGGTAGCAGAGCGTGGTTGATTGTTTCTACAATCACGCCCGGCCGTAATACGTAATAATTACGTAATAATACGTAATAGTTTTTTTGTTTGCTTCCTTTGTTTGTTAGTGGATTGGTGGGTAGAATTAGGAACCACGCACATTAGGCTGCGCAAGCGGGAGTGTAGTTTAGGGTTAGGTACCGTCACGCGTCGGGTAGGTAGATAATTATCGTTATCACATAATCGTATAATTATCGTTATCGTATAATTATAGCAGATTAATTGCCGAAGGGTCGGTCGTCTGAGCGAGGCATCTTTGCTGATCGACTGTAGTGTGTACTTGTATTTATAGTGTAATTTTTATTTAATTTAATAAGTAGTAATTTGTATTTGTAGTAATTTGTATTGAATTTAATTTGATAGTAATTTGTATTTAGTAGCGATGCCATCGCACAAGCTACCGGTGCTTCGCCTGCAGGCGGAGCTGCGCTGGGCCGCAAACGCCCATATTTTGATAGGTCGATCTTATCGGGTCCATAGTTTAGGGAAGCGGCTTGAGCAGGTCGATGCCCGAAGGGCTGTAGTGGAGGAGGTTTGCACAGAGCTTTTGGTCTCGGATGCGGAACAGGGAGTCCTAGACTCCTGCCTCGCGGACTACGAGAAATTCTTTTCGCTCACGGACGACTTGATCGAGGCGCGGGCCAAGTATGCTAATGAAGCGCGTGAAGCTCGGCTGAGTGGCCTGGCCGAGTCCCCTCGGAAGCAGCCTACTCAGCCGGAGCTATTGGGACGGCTCCCAACTCTGGACGTGCCAAGGTCCTCCAGGGTCCTCTCCGACTGGATGACTTTTGTTGGCCTTTTAGATAGTTTAGTGGTCTAGTGGATAAACAAACAAAAATTTATTTCTATGTATTAGATTAGATAACGATAATTAGCAGTAAATCATATCTCACTGAGCAGTATATGATTTTTTTTGTATTTTCAGTTAAATATATTATTACCTGAATTGAACTGATTTTTTTACAGCTTTAAAATATCGCGCAGGCCTTGTCACGAATATTGGAAGCCCTAAACGCGTAGACATCAATGAATGAATGAATCATTATTTACCAAAGGCTAGACGGCGAGTATCTCGATCTCTCTTGACAGCGGTATCAACATCAATGGCGAGTACATCACTTACCTTCGATTTGCCGACGATATAGTCCTTATGGCAGAATCGCAGGCCCTAAGCACTATGCTCAATAACCTCAATAGTGTCTCCCAACGGATAGGTCTTATGATGAACATGGACAAAACAAAAATCATGTTTAACGTCCATGTTACACCTATGCCGGTAGTTATTGGGAGCACTGAGCTCGAAGTTGTTGACGAGTATGTTAACCTGGGACAAATAGTCCGACTAGGTAAGTCCAACTTCGATCGAGTGTTCAATCGACGGATTCAACTCGGTTGGGCAGCGTTCGGGAAACTACGACACATCTTCTCGTTAGACATACCTCAAAACCTTAAAACGAAATTGTATAACCAGTGCGTGTTGCCAGTGATGACTTACGGATCTGAGACGTGGTCCTTCACTGCTGGCCGTATGAAGAAGCTCAAGGTCGCTCAGCAAGCTATGGAGAGGGCTATGATCGGGGTTTCTCTGCGTGATAAACTTAGGAATGAGGATATCCGCAGTAGAACCAGAGTAAGCGACATAGCCCAACGGATTAGTAAGCTGAAGTGGCAGTGGGCTGGCCATATAGCTCAAGAACCGATAACCGATGGGAAAGAAAGGTTCTTGAGTGGCAGCCTCGTACCGGTAGGCGAAGTGTAGGGCGACCCCCCACGAGATGGAGTGACGACCTGGTAAGACATGCAGGAAGTCGATGGATGCAGGTGGCTCAGGACCGTGCTTTGTGGCTTTCCTTGGGGGAGGCCTATGTTCAGCAGTGGACTTACGAAAGGCTGTAATGATGAGACGGCGAGTGGTCAAGTGGGGGGGGGGGGGGGCTGTGGTGTGTTTGACGTCCCGATGTCATAGTTAGGCCGGCTACCTTCAGTTTTTTTAATATTACGTTTTGGTTCGATTTACCCAGAATGAGCTTAAAGTATATATATATATATATAGATTTATATATATATATATATATATATATATATATATATATATATATTTATATATATATATATATATATATTTATAGAATAACGGTGAAAATGTTAAGTGGTTGCTGTGGCCCATAGACATCTACATCTATCTTCATTTGGCAGATGCGTTGTCAACCGTAAGGACTAAGATAGAATGCCTGTTTTCCAGTAAAAGGGTATCCGGTTCTCTACACTCACCATACGAAACACAACAGAATTAAGCTGCTATTTTACGTTGGTATTCTGTGAGAGCATGGTCCTTGCCCGGTCGAGCAAACCCAGTCGTGCTACAACTATACTACTAATGTAGCTGCAGCATGGCTCTACCACGTATAAATTAAGAAGAATATTTCGGATTTAAATTAAAAACAATATTAATTTTGGATTTATAGAATTAAGTGCACCTGTTTCAAATAAATGTAAAATTAGCGAAAACATTATCAAATGAATAAAAGTCATAATAAAAATCATAATCATTGCGGCCTATGAAAGTCCACAGCTGAACACAGGCTTTCCTGTAAATTGCCGCATTCGAGAAACATTGTATTTATTTATATTTCTTTAATAAAATTGCTCGTAAAGGAAACATTTGCCATAGTGTCCATTCTTGGCAGGTGAGTTAGCAACCGCAGTTTTTCATTTTCAAATTATTATTAGCAAGATACTGCCCAGATCACACGAATAAAAAGTTATATTCAAAAAGATTCATTATTTTGCTGAAATATTTTGACATTAAGCCAGATTATTATTCGTAGCTATTTCATTTACTAGGCGCTTAAACAAAGCAAAACTGTTTAAAATTACTTAAATAGTGCTTATAAGAAAAAGAATGATGTTTTAAATAATCAGTTAATGATTATAAAAAATTTACACACATTTATACTCTAAACTCTAAGAAAATTTGTGATACATTCGCTGCAACCAAAACTAAGAGTATTTATAATCAAAATATCCGTTTATCAAAATTACGAATCCAAATAATATTTATTGAATTCACATATTATGTAATAACTATAGTGCCAGTTCCACTTCAGGGTATATAAACCATGCATAAATCCAGCCGTGCTTAATATGGTTTGCTGATGCCTAAAACTGATAAATAGAAAGTTTTATTGTAAATATGTATATTATAGTACAGTATACATATTATAAAATATAAATAATACATAATATATATATATATATATATATATATATATATATATATATATATATATATATATTTAAATAACTTATCATTTTAGTTAAATAAATAATATCCATATTTGGTCGTCCAAAGTGCTGAATATAAATAATAAGAACAACAAAGCAGGGACAATAAAAACTGCAAACGTAATTAATTATTCGTGTATTATAATTAACAATAAATAAATTAAATTTTCGTTAAGTTAGTAGCCACTTTCGTTTAATGTTTGTAATAAAGAGCGGGAGCGGGAGCGGCATAGACGGGAGTCTTGATGAGAGCTGGAGCAGCGGTGGGGGCAGAGTTGTGCACCACCGCGTTGAAGCCATTGTGATCATCGGCGGAGTATTCCACAGTTCTGATGGAGCCATCGGCCTCGTAAAACGAGTACGATCCCTTCACTACATCACCGTCTCGGGACTCTTGCTGGGACTTGTTGTCACCGGTATGACCGTCAGCGACAGAGTATGAGAAATTGTATTTTGGGTAGGCCTGCACAGAAAAAATAATTGTCATCTCGTC